TCAAAAGAACAGCAAACCATTGTTGTGACAGCTAATATGCTTGTTGAGGCTTGTTTGGAGGCGGTGTTCTGTGTCTTTGTACGTGTGTAAGTGCAGGTGTGCTGACGAGCTGTGCATGCTGCTTAATAATATTAATAATCAGCCAGTGCTTTGGATGTAAAGTGAACATTTAGATTTTGCTATTTTCTTACCCAGTTGCATAACTCAACACCCCTTGAGCTAAAATATTGGCTCTATATTTTTATTTAAAAAAAGATCAGATGTGTAATGTGAACAATGTCCCTCTAGGTGACCGACCCTCCCACTGCTCTAATACATATCACACACAAATCAATTTTGGTCAGAAAATGTTAATGATACTAGTCTTTGCCTGAAGATGGTCATTCACAAGAAGTTGGAGTTTACCCTATTTTAAACTCTTTATTTATCCAATCATAGGTTGTTTACTTTAGCTTCATCTGACTTCCAGGCAGAATGTACGATTTGATGATTCTCTTTGACGGACTGTCATAGATATAATTAATAATTCTATTGGTAATGTATAGAATTATATGATTGACCAAGTAAACGAGGGATCTATAGGGAGACAGGATCTGAGCAAAGGAGCAAGTGTGTGTTTGAGGGTTAAAATGGAAATTTATTAGGTCAAAATTACTGGGACTATGAGCAGGGATACTACCAATTCGACATTTGAAGGTCAGACAGACTGGCAAGTGTAGAACAGTTTTGAGTTTGCCCTGTTCCCTCCAGTTGGGTAAAGCAGATTGTGAGGTTTAGATCGTGAATTTGATTATCAAGTGGCCAGTGTCTATATCACTGCAGCTGTCATAGCGTTATTGAATTTAAAGCCTAAATTAAGACAATTTGATAAGTAGGTTGGCAGTGTGGGGTAGTTCATTTTTGAAGGTGAAGTCTTACAGGATTATACTTTAAAAACATCTATTAAGCTCACAGTTCTGTCCAATTGCTTGCTCTCAAAACTTGTTCTGCACTAACAAATCCATCTCTTCAATCTTAAATTGTAAATTAATTACTGCTCAAATTTGGTTTGTGCTCCCTCGATTGTTTTCTTATAATAAACTGCCAAGTATCAATCCTGACAAGACACTGAACCATACCCTTATTGTAAACCGCCTGGAGTTAGAATGTGATCTTAAGCATCTAAAATAGAATTGAGCACATAAGTGATACAGAAGCTGGGACATAATAGGTTGTGAATGAAAAGAAACAGCATGTAGAGGAAGAATATAAGTGCGATAAAGTGGGATAAGGAAAGAGTAGCTAACGTCCGGAGTGGCTGTGGAGAGTGCTGAGTGGGTGGGGTGGTGGTGGTGGAGGAGGAGGAGAGCTGAAGCTGGAGCGAGTGGTCTCAGCCTCCTTCTCAGAATTATCCCTTAGTGACGCAAGCTCCTCCACTCACATCCTGACAGCTGCTCCCTGCCTGGTTACAGCGCTCCTGGGCCTGTCCAATAACATTCATGTTCATTTCCGCTTTAATGCATGACTTTCCCCCACTGGGTTTACCAATACAGCTCCATTTAGGCTCATTAGTACATACTGACTTACCTTTTTTTTGTGTTCATCTAATCTATGCACTAGTGGGACCTCGGTGTCGCACACACACTGGATCCGCTTTCTTTTGATGAAGAGAAGCTGTGATGGAAAATAAGCCGTTATTCTTAATCCACTTGTCTCCGGCACTGTCCTTCCTGAGTTACGACACACAGATGGAATACACCAAAATACACCAGATGCTCCAGAGATAAATGAACGGCCTTTAGTGTTTTTATGTTGTTTTCTCTTTACGTTTAAATAGTGGTGGGCGGTATCCGGTATACCGGTTTCAATTTCACGTATGATATCAATTTTTCACACACCGCCATACCGGTGTATAGCCGAAACAACTAACATTAATCATGGTTATAACTTTATAACACAACAATTAATAACCCACAACTAATGCGCTTTAACAGGGCAATACACCACGACGCAACAGTTTGTGACACATAAACAATTTGTAACACTAATAATTGTACATTTATAAAATTACACTGCCGAACGGCATGCTGGGTACAGCTCGCTAGCTAGCCCGCTAGCACAACAGTCTGTTAACAGCTGGGAGAGGCTCCGTCGCTACAGTAACGTTACATTAAAGAACATAAAAGGTGCAGGATGAACAAAGACAGACCGGAGATGCACCGATAGAGTCTGTGCCCAAGAGAGGAGCTGTGTCTGCTGTTTGGAAGTGTTTAAAAAATCCGACATAGACCAAAAGACTATATATTGCAAAGTTTGTCGAGCCACTGTTGTTGACACTGGTGGTAACACCAGCAACTTACTCCATCACCTCAGCAGAAAACATGAGTTGGAATACCAAGAATGTGATTATGGTCGTCAACCAGTAACGTTAACGCGAATGAAACAGTGAAGCCAAAGGGTCACACATCGCTTGAAGAGGCATTTGCTCAAACCACTGCATATGACAAGAAATGCAAGCGGTGGAGCGACATTACGAACGCCGTAATGATCCAGCAATGCAAGGACATGGTCCCGCTACAGACAGTCGAGAAAGACGGGCTCAGAGCAATGATTAAAACACTGGATTCAAGGTATGGCGACAATACTTCAGCCAAACTGCTATCCCAACATTATACGAACAAACGAGCAAAGCCTTTATACATAATGACATAAAATGTTTTTATATTCTATGACAGTAGAGTAAGCCACTATAAACCTATATAAAAACACAGTCAAGGGGGAAAAAAATACCGTGAAACCGCCAGAATCTTAAAAAAATACTGTGATACACATTTTTGGTCATACCGCCCAGCATTACGTTTAAGTACTGTAGCAATACAGTAATGACATAATTCCAGTGGCGGCTGGTCAATAGAGGGCGCTAGGGCGCCGCCCCAACTTGAGCCACAACAAATAAAATAAAATAAATAATAATAACAATAAACTATACAAATTGTCAATATTTATGTTTTTGAAATATGGAATCACCCAGTAATATGTGTAAAATATGATATCTGCGGTAAATATATGCTTTTCCTGCACGTCCTCTCCGCCTGTCTGCACGTCCTCTCCGCGTGTGCACGTCTCAGCTGGCTGGGGCGCTGGCAAAACTGCCCCAAAGAGGCGGGTCTATGAAGCAGTTTAGCCAATGATGCTTTAATGCTGATTAACGATATAAATGAGTGACATACAATTTAGCCAATCAGCGTTCTCAAATAGATTCAGCAGAATCGATTCTGCCCCAAGCTGCGCGTTCCCGTCTGGACTAGACTCTACAGGCGAGCGCGAGCGCCAGCGCGAGCACTGCTCCTCCAAGATCCGTTTGAGAGGAGAACTTTGGCGGATAAACTGCAGGTGAAAGAGCTGATGTCAGATCAACCTGACCTCACAATCAGACAGCAGACTAGCAGGAAAGGGAAGCAGTACATGCGAAGCTTCTCTACCAGCTGTACACCAGACAGGTTTGGCTGGATGCAGTCAAGTCATAACTTATTTAGCTTTTTAAAACAACGGGGACAGATCCAGTATGGACAGTTACGGGAGTGAGAGACATGAAGCACCTGCTGAATGGATATTTATAAATAAATAATTATATATATATATATGTGTGTGTGTGTGTGTGTTTTATATTATAGTGAATATTATTATATGATATATATATTATTATATGATATATATATTATTATATTATAGTGAATATTACTATATGATATATATATTATTATATTATAGTGAATATTATTATATGATATATATATTATTATATTATACTGAATTGCCTGTGAGGGTGACAAAAATAAGATGTACTGACGTGTTTGTCAAAGTGTTATTTACTGCTTTTTTTCATGTTGGAATAAAGGTTAAATATTTAACTGCAAAGTAGTAATGTGTGTTTGATACCTTAATTTTTTTGCATTAAATCATACTGGGATGTTTGCTGAAATTTATTGGATGTGGCACAGCCCTACCTAACATGTTGCACCAGCCGCCACTGCATAATTCTCTTTCCTCAATAAAACATCTAAATAATTTAAAGGTGAATTATTAAAAGATTAATAGAAAATAACAATGACAGACAAAAGTGACGTGAAATTAGGCCTTAAAATTATAAAACTTACCGAAGAATATTGCAGGTCCAAGTGTAGTTCAAATTAAAATACAGACTTAATACGACCGATTGATAGCAGTACCATTGTAGACAATTGGATGTAATTATTTGGTGGGTTTAATGACAGAGTGCATCTTTTTAAATGAAATCTGAGTTGCTTCAATGAGGCCATGATACGTAATGACCAACATGGTGGCCTTAATTATTTTGGTTATTCATGGGATTAAATCTGAATCAATTGGAAGTTGAAGTGAAATGAGAGGAACATGAGTCAAAACTACATGAAAAAAAAGCTTCAGTACATAGGGTGAAGGGATATGAAACAGTTAGATAGCAAAAGGAAAAATGATGAAGGCCACATCCACCACAGCGTTATTCGACAATCCCATCTTGGTCGTACATTCTCAACAGATGCTCGTTTGCTCTCATGGCAACCGCTAATGTTGTACTGCAAAAGAACAAGAAACATGTACAGGAAGAACTCAGTGCCCCTTTGATAGAAACTTGTAGGACAAAAATGGAAACTCTTCAACTGGCTGTACGAGACAAAAAACATAACAACTTCCACCTTCACTCTCTATCATCATCATGCTCTCAGCTCAGACCTTAAGTAACACACACAGCCTGCAGTCTCCCCAACCATTAACAAGGACCAGGAGCAATAGGCAAGCAGACACTGTAGGTCTACTCCTAAAAATGCTTGTTTTGGTGTGTGGGTTGGAAATTATAAAATATGCAAAGAACATGTAAAAGGACAAAAACAAGGCTATGAAGGGCTGAAAGGGTTATCAATCAACATAGTGGGTTCTGATTTTGGAGTCAGGCGCACGTATTGCTACTCAGCTGAACTTCTCCTTTAAGGGGACCCGGAAGTGCTTGACAAACCGGATGTACAGCCTTCCCAATGTGACTTACCTTGGCAAACATCGTTATGTTTTAATGCTGTCTTCGTCTAGTGGTTTAAAGTCTGCAAAATGTTTCTTACCACCGCAAATTGTGGGTATTTCAATGGATGTAGTTAATTAAAGGTCGTTTGCATGCGCATGCAGTGCTGTCTAAAACGTGTCAGTTTGCTAACCTTAACTTAGCTAACGTACCGTTAGCTTTTGACTCTTGGGGTTAGTCAACATTACCTAACGTGGCGTCGTCTATGCTTACTTATGTTTTCTATTTTTGTAGCTAAGTGTTGTGAATTTCAAATGCTGCCTCGCTCGGCTGTCACTGTTGTGTAATGTTACCCAGCGGTCAATTTGAGTTAAGCTAGTAGTTGGCTAACTGTTAGCCAGATTACTCGCTATTAAAGTCGTTAGCGTTGCATTCATAAATAATATTTGTCTAGTTAATGTAATCAATCTATCTCATTTTGATACCCACCCTCTGCTCTTTTTCATGTTTCAGTGGCCAAGGCAAAGTCAAAGTAAGTGGAAATAATAAAATAGGAACGTTAAGATGTATCATCTGTGTCATTGTTATTGTCCCAGGAAAGCTTCAAAGCGTTGGCAAGAAAATACCAAATGCCCTTTACTGGCTGAAGTGTTGACCAATGCTATTTTGTGTTAGGACCATCTTGGTGCAGATGATGAGCGCTGCAGGGACAGGCTACTTCTTCAACACGAAGAGGAACCGTCTCAGAGAGAAGCTGGTGCTGCGCAAAAACGATCCGTTTGGTAAGTTATAAATAACCAGCTGTGTATGCTCTGCACATGTAACATACATACTATAACCCTTTATTGAGCATTAGTCTGTGCTGAAAAATAAAAGGACAAACCCATGTTCATGGTAATGGTACCAAGCTGTTAATGTTTTAAAACAGCAGCTGGACTTTCAGCATGGTGTACAGTGCATCCGGAAAGCATTCACAGCGCTTCACTTTTTCCACATTTTGTTATGTTACAGCCTTATTCCAAAATGGATTAAATTCATTATTTTCCTCAACATTCTACACACAACAACCCATAATGACAAAGTGAAAACTGTTTTTTGCAAATCTATTAAAAATAAAGAACGAAAACATAACATGTA